GACCCTGGCCGACACACCTAAATCAAAGCATCGACATCGCTCAGCCCTCTGGAATAGGTAACGAACTATTTCGCAGCTGACATTACAGAAAACCCCATTAAGCATTTCGTTTCAGGCGCAAGAACTCGTTCAAACTGAATAAATTTATCCAAGGGCACGGCAGAATCCCGATTGTGAGTGAATGGTGGGACACAATGAAAGGAGTAGTTTTCCTTCCGAGGCGTCTCTACACAGAGGTACGGTTTCACAGCGAAGTATTTGTATTCCAACAAAACACAATTTTTTGAGCGCTGAACCCAGCAGTACCGGCGGACCACGTCGCTTACGCGGAATGCAAGGAATTCCTGGAATACTTGCTCACAAGGTGGTTCGACGGGCCCTACAAAGCTATGTGGAATAAATGGGAGAAGCGACCCACAAGTGAGCATTGAACAAAATCATACTATTCTTTAATAGGTAATCACTCTTCCTTTCAGTCGCTTGACCGTCACTTTTGGAAAAGACAATCCGGATACGCATACGCTGATAGAGAAGCTGAAGTATATAGATTCGGAAGCTCAGTGTTCCCTGCGGTGGATTAGGGAGGTGCGTGTCCCTTTGAAGAGAGCAAGCCATCAGTCCACCAAAAGATTTTTTTCGGAATCCCAATGAATAAAAACATTACAATAAACGAGACCGCGAGCGCAGGAGAAATATTGAGAGGAGCGTGAGAATGTGAGATCACATATTCATGCTCCTCTGCGTAATTAATGCTATTCTAGTAGACAATTCCTACCTTATTTAATAGATTTGGAGACATTTATCGCTCGCGAGGAGTCACTACAAACGAGATTGAAGATTACTGCAGATATATGTCACGAATGTATCTGGGAAACTATATAATATGTGCATGATAATAAATCTTTACAATATCAACAAAATAAGATAATTTCTTACCACATCATGAAGGCCTGATCATTCACTGTAAGCTGCTATGAAGTGGGATATATTGCAACTCCAGAAAGGTCGTGATATTCCCACCTCCAAGTAGCGAAGCAGTATATCCAAGCAGTAAAAAATACAGAAGGAACCCAAAACGTGTGCAACAAGACGAAAAACAGCTGAATAATAGCACAACAGTGTTCGAGCAGGCCGCTCTTCTGCAATTGGGCGTCTGTGTAGGCGTCCTCTAGTGATCGATCAATCAAATCACAAGGCAGAGCTGAGACGGATGAGTTGTCCGTCCACGAAACGCGCCCCATTATCGGGGTGGCTTGTGGCAACTAGGGCCAGCTACGCCCTAATGGCAAACTGGTAGCGAGGAACGATCGGCGTGAAGGTCGACAAGAGGTGCTCGATCATATCTCTTGAGAAGATAACAGCCATAAATGCTCCGTAACACGACTGTGACAGAATATAAAACGAGAAGTGTACAGGCATTTTACATTGACTTGAGAGTAAACATCACTACGTAACTGATTACAGCAATAAACTCCAGATCGATGAATACTTAAAAAAAAGATGGACATCTACACTATGAGAAGATTAAGTTCATCCTAGAATGAGATCACGGTTTCGGCGTATTCATGAGAACGTTTATGCAGAAAATAGTAGCTCCTCGAGGAAACGAAGGCGAAAGCAACATAGAGAATTTAAACCAGCACTAACTAGAGGCGAGACAGTCGCTTCACTCCACGGAGTGAGAGAGATGTACTATTGAGTGAGTGAGTGAGCGAGTCCACGACACTGTTCGAATACTGCCCACGAACTACTTCGATAGCGTGTGAGAATGCAGGCGAGAATAAAGCCGCTACGCTTGGGCTACCTCTCGATGTGGCTAGTAACGCATCTTGGGTGATCAAGGGATCTTACGCTATCTGTCTGAGGAGATAGCAGACAGTCATATTCTGAAGTGCCTCTGTAGTCGAAAGCCTGGAACTCCTTGATAGCCTCTTCATTCCTGCGCTCACATAGAGAAACACGATACCGAGACAATAATGACGCGTGTTTATAAAATTTTCAACAAGAAGCAATATAATAGAAGTTGTATCAGATAATCATGAGCAAATAAAGATGTAAAAAAATCCAATTCAACTATTATCAACATCAGGTTGCTGGTCTGACGCACTCTACTATCACCATACTGCCTCTTCATCATATTCTACTATACTGAATTGTGCGAAGAAAATAGAATTACAATTTCTCATCGCTTGCAGAAGGAAACTCAGAAAGGCTTGCTGTCCTTTGTTCAATCCCGTCCTGTTGGACTGGCTTGCAAAGCTTATGAACTTAAAGCAGCCCTAAGTCTTCTTCATTTATGTCCAACGTAGTGTCGCTTAATAGATTTGAAAGCGCGATACAGGAAAATAGGAAGTGTAGAATCGCCGCGCGACACGTGCCGCGGATTGTAGGTATAGAAGTTTGTGAGCCGTTGCTCTCGATACACTCAATATGTAGTCGCAGTATTGCCAGCTCACGTGTTTCTACTTACTTATCTTGCCGGTTTGAGGACGAAAGTGATATGTTCTCTGTGAACGCGTATAACAAGTCAGAAGGCATGGAGTCATTTCGAGGACCACTTGATCGCGGGAAGTGTCTTTAATGGAACCACAGACCTGAAAATCCTTCTCCGGACAACCTTTGATTTGCTGAGCGCTGTACATGAATTACTTTTGAAGCAACGGCCCCAATGAATGATATGTCCAGCTAATTTCGAAAGATTCCTTAGTTATTGGAAAGGGGCAGTCTCCTACTGGTTACCACAGCTACCAGAGTTATGGTTCTTGAAATGTTGAACATCGCATGATCAAGACATTTTTTCATTAATCGGGAAAAAATTTCAACGGCTGATTTTTCTTTAGTAATGGACTTCTGTGGAAAGCTTCATGGTCATTAGAGAGCGAGCCTTCTACTGCTCAGCATCTTTTTTGTTCTGTCCTTGAGTCTTCTGCTAGCGGAGCTATGGTCCGCGAAATGTTGAAAAGTCGAGCACAAAAGAAATTTTCATCATTAATCTTGGTGCGAAGCTGCCAGATCTCTTTTGAGATTCAGTGGATAACCTTCCATATAACTCTAAGGTAATAAGCAGTGAAGTAGAGCGCTCCAATGCCGACACGCTGCACAGCTGGAATGAAATCCAATTGCACTGTTTCCTTTCAACGTCTGAATTGTCATCCCATTTTCTTTTCGTTGATTAAACGGAGAAGAGGGTCGTACTGACAATTTCTTCTGGGAGAGGGGATCGTGCCAACGGGCATATTTTCCTCAACCAGATAATTAGCCCTGTATCGGCTGACCGGCCCCTCACGTTAAACTTCTGAGTGCTGTAAGGCTGTGGCATGGAAGCAGTTGACAGGGAAGTAAGGAGCCTCAATGTCATACCGGATTATTCACTCCTGTATGCGGAAAAAGCTGGGCCGAGTTGTGCCTGAAGACAGGTCTCTTGCCAATAACTTTCTTGACTTTTGTAAACTTCTTCCATTCTTGTGATGACTACATATGCTACAAAGTAGTTATTTTGCTGTTCTTCTCTCAGCGCCCTCCCCATTATGGCGCTGCTATGTTTGGATTCGATATTCACGATACAGGTTGGTACGGACTTTTTCGTTGTACATGGGCGTTTGAGTGTCGCTTGTGCCATATTCGGTGAAAAAGAGCTACGAAATACAAGAAAGCGGATCTTTAGGTTACGACGAGTGGAGCAGCGTAAGTGAACAAATTTACTTGGGAACCGGTATGTTTATAGTCTGATGTAAGGTGAATGTTCTGCATAGAGGTGAATTTGGTTGCATTCTAATGTACGGTATCGATACTGAACTGGTAGCTGAACTTTCTGCTATTGCCGTCAAGAAGATCGGAGAAGTGGAAAAGGTGAAGATCATTCTGAATGTATTACAGGAAAACCACCTCTCTGGTATTTTAGGATATACGCCTACAAACCAACCAGTGAACTCTATACGAAGTAACACTCTGAACTGAACCAATCCTATTTCCGATCAACTGAACTACGATCTGCACTCGACCGGTAAACTGCAAATAAAGAACTTCAAACCACTTTCAAGCGCTTGAGGACGACGACTTGCTTGAAATGTCGGCAAACTAGGAACAATTTTACTATAACAATCCTATAAGGCGACCAAGTAAACATTCATTCAACCTAATTCAGCAAGGCCGTAGAGCGCCGACATTAGTTGTTACGTCATCTTCTCCTTATGTTATGGCTGCGTTTTGCAGCAGCGTCCACCACCGTCCGGCAGCGTCAGCGATTAAGGACGTATAGATACCAATCTAGCGTCTACCAGCGTCCATCAGCGTCTACCAGCGTCCAGCAGCGTCTGCCAGTGTCCGGGAGGTCAGAGTAAGGGGAGATAGACGGGTAGCAGACTGCTGGAAGAGCAGGGGAAGATAGGAGAGTAGCAGACTGCTGGTAGAAGCGCGATGAGAGGGTACCAGCTGTCTGCTACCTTTGCTACCTTCCCATCGCGCCATACTCTCCTCTCCCAGACGCTGGCAGACGCTAGATCGATATCTATACTTCCCTAGTCGCTAATGCAGTCGAACGCTCGGAACGCTGGTCGACGCTTTTGATAACTGGTGGACGCTGTATTAACGCAGCCTATCACCGCAAGGCGGATTTTCCGAATTGAACTGGGTCAAGTTGTGGTCAGTTGCTCGCAGCGGACTGTTTATGCAAACCCCACCAAGAGGTGAATTACAGCGAGAAAGCCACAAAAATGGAGTCAAAAGGGAAAACATGTTCTATGATAAGTTAATACTGACACATTTCATTGGCGTATTTTACTGAAAGATTTTTCCGATCACCGGCGCGAGTCATTGTGGTAGTAAAAGCGGAAGAACTGTTTATGCTTCCCGGGATTTGACGTTGTCCACGAATAATTCCATCGTGGTTCGTCTTGTAAAGACCTGCAGTGCACGCAAGGGTTCTTAAGGGCTTGAAGTAAAATGACTGGGTTCCTCTATCTTGATAGATTGAAAAAGGAATTAATATATCTGAAAGTGGCACGAAAAAAAGTAGACGTATTCTGCACAGCAGCAGAAGACTCGGATAAAGGATGCCTCTGTGGGCATAAATCCTGATGTCAGTCAGACCGAAGGAGGAGAGAACGTCGGGACGGGAACATCCTGTGCCATTTTCAAACTACTGTGCTAGCGTCAGTACGACATAACCCAAGAAGAACCAGCCATTATAAAATTCAGACTAAAGGATATCGTGCTTCACAAGCTCAAGGAAAGCTTTCTTTTGAGTATAGCTATCAAAGACGACTAGTGAAAAAAGTATGAAAATTTCGGATAACTCCGACACTCCGAGCGAGCTCCACTGGTTCGCTGATCCGTTGGATGAAGACCAATTCCCGGCGATTTTATGCTCAGAGTCCAGGGGAGAGCTTCCAGAAGTGGTAAATGGCTATGTCATTAGGCCCCTCGACCCTTTCCCCCCCCCTTCCCCCGAATTCCCTTTGTGAACTGTCCGCTTACATGATACTTACTTGCACTTGTACCACTTTTCCCAGTTTTCCTTTCCCTCTAGAAAACTGCTGTCGGGGGCTTTCAGCGCTCACGGAAAGGGAATAATCGAGAAGAGTCAACAACTGTAAAAATCCATCGCTTTCGTAAAAATAAAAATAATATCAGTCACTCGCTTAACGCTTTCGACCCTCTACCCCATTGCGACACACCCAATGATGTACGTCGCGCGTGTGAGACGGTAAGAATCAACAAACAAACATTTCGTAGGACAATACGACCCCGCTCTTGCCAGCGACTCCCGTGGTAAAATGTACTACATAAATTCGTACGATAACTGTAATACGTTGGTGATCTCTCCACGGTAGGAGGCTCTTGACGTGTGCAAGATAGCCCTGGTGCGCAGTCATGTATGTAAG